TTTTTATTTTGAGAGGCTCTTGTGAGTCACCAAATTGCCCAGCCTAGGTTCAAACTTATGATCCTCCTGCCTCAGCCTGTCAGAGTTCTGGTATTACAGATATGCAACACCAGGCCCTGCTAAAGTTTCAGGTTTTATCTCTGTGTCTTTGATCAATTTTGAATTGACTTTTGTGCAGGGTGAGATATAGGAGTCTGGTTTCAGTGTTCTACATATTAATATCCAGTTTTCCCATTACCATTTGTTAAAGACGTTGCCTTTTCTACAACATATACTTTTGGCTCCTTTGTCAAGGGTCAGATGGCTGTAGCTTGGGTTTGTTTCTATGTCTTCTGTTCTATTCCGTTGGTCCCTGTGTCTATTTTTGTGCTGGTGCCATGTGCCATGCTGGTTTTGTAGTATAATTTGAAACCTGGTATTGTAAGGCCCTTGGTCTTGCTCTTTTTGCCTAGGATTGCTTTGGCTCTTGGGGATCTTGTGTGTATCCATATGAATTTAAGATTATTTTTTATAGTTCTGTAAAGATTGTCATTGGAATTTTGATGGGGATTGCACTGAATCTGCAGATCACTTTTGGTTATATGGCCATTTAAAAAATATTAATTCTAATGATCCATAAATGTCTTTCATTTCTTTCTTCAGTGTTGTGTAATTTTCATGATAGAAGTCTTTCACTTCCTTTGCTAGGTATTTTTTTCCTTAGGTATTTTTTAAAGCTTTTGTAAATGGAATATTTTTATGATTTCTCAGCTAATTCAGTATTGGTTTATAGAAAAGCTATTGATTTTTAAATATTGATTTGTATCCTGGCTTTGTTTTTATATTACAAATATCTGGGTTGTCTCTGCCTTTTCTAAGACATCTGGTATTATGTTGAAGCTTTTGACTTTGATGTAGTCCAATTTCCATATATTTTCTTCTATTATATGTCCTTTTTGGGCCTTCTTTGAGAAATCCTTTAGTATTTAAAAGTCATAAACATATTACCCTATATTTCTAAACATTTTAATGCCTTACTTAATTTTTAAAAAGCTGTCCTGGAGTCTTTTTTGTGTCCATGGTGTGAAGGAAGATCTCATGTTTTATCTCCCAGCCTTCCCTTCAGGCTGTGAGGCGGAGGTTGTTCCTGTTTGGCAGGTTGATGGGATTAGACACGGGACTTGCCTGAGTTGCATCCGTAGTAAAGGGGAGAAGAGGCAGGACCTGGACCCAAGTTTTTGTGGTCCCAAAGCCCAAAGCTCCTTTCCATATGGTGCAATGCTGTTCCGAAAAGCTAAGAGCAAATGTGCACAGTATTTTATTTCCGGAGCAAATCATTTTCATTTCGGTGTAGAAGTTCTGGTCCACATTCCTGGAGCTGCTCCAGGCCAGATGAGGCTCCCAGCACCTGTGGCAGTGAGAAACCTCAGGCTGACCTGGGGACAGAGGTGGACTGGACACGCCCTCAGACAGTGCTGATTCCTGTGATGTGATCCATGTATTTGGCTTCCCCTGTTTTTCTCTTATGTTGCTCACTTTTTCCTGTGAGATAGGCATCTTGGAATTAGGGCAGAAATAAGAAAATTGAAAAGTCCAAACCAGCTGTTTGTAGCATTTTACTATTTTTCTTACTGATTTATGAATTTGAGTCACAATATGACCATTCACTCTCTTTTTCTGATATTTTTGTTGGAAACATTACTTCAAGTTTGTTATTTGTCTTTTAGTTTTTTCTGTGACATTATTGTGTTTCGACTTATCTTTTTGGGTAATCAAATCTGTCAATATCCCTCCATCAATTCTTCACTAATTTTATGCTTAGAAAGCCCTTACTTGCCTCTAATCAGTTAAAGTCACACTAGTTTCCTTTAGAAAAACTTAATGGTCTCTGTAAAGCTTGTTTTTCATCATTTAAAGAAGATATGTTCATTATTAATTTTTTCCCAAGAGACAAGAGTTTAACATGAAAAGCTATTTCCCTTTCCTCCCTGCAACCCCTGTTTCTATTCCCCAGAGTTAATAATCACTGTTGACAGTTTCTGGGGTGTCAATTCTGGGACATTCTCATGAACACATGGGGCATAAATAGACCTTACAGCAACTGGACAATTACTAGACCTCCCCTCTCTTAACTTCTGTCCACTCCTAAAGGAGTTGCTAGGTGACCCTCAACCCTCACCAACAGGCCACCAAACCGGCCCTGCAAGCCACCTGCCCTCCACCCACACTGACCTACATATCAGCAGAGGCCACAAGGATATGGGAGGATCCCCAAGGGCAGGTGGCCTGGTCTGGGGTTAGGTTAGGGTTGCCTACCCCAGGGCAGGGCTCCTTCCCTCATCTATGTCCAGGGCTTGTAGATGGAATTCAGAGGGTCCACAGACAAGGATGGGAAAGGGGTTCATGCATATTTTCACTATCCTCTAGTTGAAATTTGGCATTTCCTTCAGCTGTGGACACAGCCAACGAACTACAGAAGTATCGGCCACAGTTGTACATTTGTCACCAGTAGAAACCACGTGTGTTTTCACGTGACATGCAGTTGTTGCAGATGTCTTAAGATATCACTGATATCCATCCTTACTTAGGAATTACTGCTAGGTCGGGTTACACAGTCTGTGACTAAAGCAGCATTTAAATTGAAGTAAGCCAGGTATAGAGGAACAAATACTATGTGATAGCACTAACACAAGGAACCTAAAATAGTCAAATACAACAGAAGCAGAGTGAAATGGGTGGATGCCCAGTGCTAGGGGAATGAAAACCAGGAGATATGGGTGTAAGAGTACAGAGTCGTTTATGCAAGTTGAATAAATCCTAGAGGTCTGCTGCCCGGTGTAGTGTCTATGGTTAACACTGCTCTATTGCATACTTAAACATTTGCTAAGAGGCTTGCTCTTCTGATGAGTGTTCACTTACTACATAAACAAATGATTGAATGGATAAACAAACAGTACAGAAGGAAACTTTGGAAGGCGATGGACATAATCATGGCACAGATTATGGTGATGATTTCATAGGTGTGCAATTATCGCCAAATGCAGAAGGGTATATATTGAATATGTACAGCTTGTGCCGATCAAATCTTGATGAAGTGGTTAAAAAAAGCATCATTCTTAGAGTTCAAATTTGAAAATGATTTTGATAACTGCATATCAGTAATATGAGTGTCTTGGTAATCCTGTGTATTTTATTTTATAAACATATGAACATTATTCTGAGAAGGGCTCCCTAGAGTTCACTGAGCATCCAAAGGATGCAAGCTCAGGAAAGGTCTAGGGGGAGTGGGTGGGGTGGGGGCCTCCCCTGGCCACTACAGATGGTCCCCACCTTCCATGGTCTGACTGAGACGTTTCTGACTTTTGGACGGTGTGAGAGTGATGTGCATCTGGTAGAAACTGTTTCTCAGGCTGGCAACGTGGGTTCCGATCCTTCTCTGGATGTTGGACAGTGGCAGAGTCCACAGCTCCGAGTCAGCCCTGGGATTGGGAGGGGAGGCAGGTGACCCTCGCAACATGCTGCCGAACCAGGGAGTCTGCCAGGTACATGTGGTAGAGGCACTTTCCCCTTATGACTTGGCACGGTGTACGGGGAAGTCGCAGCCCCACTGACAGCGAGGAACACTGCAGTACAAACCGGCTGCTTGCTGGGGACAGGAGCCTGTGGCCTGTCTCTCTTGCTGGATGCAGGGCCTTAGCTGCTGCTACAGCAGTGAGAAAGCTCCTGGGAGAGGTGGGTCTGGGACCCCCGCACTCCTCGAGTTTAGCAGCCTGTGTGAACATGAAAACGTACTCCTGCTTTTCCTCTGGAGTATCTGCACTGCCGAGTGTGGCTGGCATAGCCCACCCAGCAGTGCAGGGAGCAGGCGCAGCGCCCACCGCCCCTCTGGAGTGTCCCGGGGGTCAGAGTGTTCATGGGCCAGGTGGGTGCAGCAGAGGGGCTGCTGGGGAGCAGTCACCTCTCCTGCACCCCAAGCTCTGAGGAGCACAGTGGGAGGAGCCTGGGAGTGGGCCTGTGAGCCGAACCACAGCACCCCGGAAATACTGCGATGATGAGACCCCAAGAGATGAGGCCTTCCCAGAGAGGGGACCCAACTGTGAGACTGTGCCTTTCCCTTCCCCTCCTGTCAAACCCCAACCTCAGGGGTGGCAAAGGGAGGAAGAGAAAAGCAGTAAAATGAAAAAAAAAAAATCCAAAAAGCCTTCCTCTCCAGGACAGTTCCACCAGTCACAGGTCCAGCCTGGGATAGGGGGAGGGAAAAGCCTTTGAATGACATAAAATTAGTATTTGACTTAAGCTACCAAATTTAACCCATGTCCAGTTTGCCCCAGAATGCTCCTGGCACCACTTCTGACTGCTGCGTTTACCCCGAGGGAACTCGGGGATTACAGCCCTGACCTACCTCCAAGCTTGCCCCAAATACCTCGCTTTTATTACTGTTCCGCATCACTCTCTAGCACACTGGTAGTCGTCGGACACACAAGACACCATTCTATTGGTAGCATTCTGTTTTTAGCAGTGGTGTTCCCATTTACAAAACACAGTCATTCCCCGTCCCTGGGAATTGAAAGAACGCTGGCAGTAAACTGCACTGTTTCATTCTTTCTGAGTGGAAAATGGGTTAAACACCTGAAGTGCAATCTCAGTGACCAGAATGCAACTGACTTTAAAATAGAGTCACTGAAGAGCCATCTGCTCAGCCCAATTAGTCATGAAGGGACCGGAAATTTGGAGACTGGGTGATGGGAGTGAAGAAATGATGAAGCCACTTCATGATTTTCACCTCTGTCCGTGTGCTCGCCACACCGGTTATCAGTGCATATTACTGCTTCAGTTGTTTTTAGTGTAATTCATTTTTTTCACTTATCTGAGTCACTCATACTTTCATGGTCTTATCTTTTTAAAACCCACAGATCTCCTCATCCCCTGGGAGTTGATTTTGCCATGTGGTGTAGGGTGGGCAGCCTTGCCTCTCCCCTGAAGCCAGATCGTCACCGTGACCAGGATGTCACTGCACCTACCTGGCAGGTGTCCGTGGTAGGAGCGCGGCGTTCCTCTTGAGGCTTGCAGGGCTCTGCTGGCTCCTGGTCAGACAGGCTACTGCTCAGGCCCTAGGGGAGGGAGGGGGACAGCACACTGAGTCACCTAGAGACCTCTGGAGCCTGGGGCTCTGCACCCAGCTGGGACGCAAGGCCCGGCTGACCTCATTAGAGGACGGCAGTGTCAGCACCTCCTGGCTGTGGGCCATGTGCCAGCTAGACTGCAGTGGGACACTGACTCCCTTTGCTGGCTGAGGGCTATAGCCAGAGGGTGGGTTGGGTTTGTTGTCTCTCCAGCCCTTGCAGCATGGTTTCCAGAGCCTGTCCATCCTCATTGGCCCCATCTGTGCCCAGACCCCCCTCCATTCCCACCTGGCTAAATCCTCCTCCAACCCTGCTAGTTTTGGCTGGCTCCCAAGCTGGTGTCTCTTTCCTGTCTTCTTTTTCTTTCATTTCCCTTCTTCATCTGAATTCTTTCTTTCCTCTCCTTACATTTTCCTTATTCAGTGTTTTTTCCCTGGTCATTTTTTGTTGCCTTTCTTTTTTTTCTTGAAATTCAATGGATCTTAATAATTTTCTTCCCCCCTTCAATCATCCCTACATATTACTGTACTTTAAAATTGTCAGGTATCAACATTTTTATCATGTAACAGTTTAGACATATGAAAGAACATAAAATAAAGCAGTCGCTTTGAATTGGATACCTCAAAGGATTAAAACATTTTCCTTTTGTTATTTCTATCTCTAGGTCCCCCTAAAGCCTCATGTGCTCCAGAGTGGGGCTTTTGGAAGGGAATTGGATTGTGGAGCTAACAGCGGACTTGCTGTTAGGAGGTGGGGTCTGGCCGGAAGAGGCGGTGACTAGGGCATGACCCGGAAGGGCTTATCTCGCTCCCCAACCCCTCCCTTCACTCTGCTTTCTTGCTGCCATGCCCTGAGCAGCACCAGCCGCCTATGGACTGAAACTTCCACAAACCGTGAGTCAAAATGAACCTCTCCTACTTCAAGTTGTGGGTGTCAGGTGTTTTGTCCCAGTGATGAAGAAAATGACTTTTTTTTTTTTGGTACCGGGGATCGAACTCGGGTCCTTGCGCTTGCGCAGCAGGCGGTGAAACCACTGAGCTAAATCCCCGGCCCCAAGAAAATGACTATTGCACCACCTTCCTACCCCATCCAGGTTACCACTACCTTGAATTCTCGACATATTAATTTTTGTAGGAAGTAGTAGTCCAAGGAATGCTTTGTTGATCTATGGATGCACATGGAAGGGGGTGTAGGATGGGCATGTGGAAGGGTGGTTGGGAGAGGAAGCTGGGGGTGCCCGGCCCAGCGCCTGGACTCTTACCATGTGAATTACATCATGACGGCCCCGTTTGGAAGGCTACTGGTAACTTGGGTAGGCTGATACCCTAATGTCAGCAGGAAGGATTTATATCTTAACTACTCACAAAGATGAGAATTGAATGGGAGATTCCTGATTTATGTGAACACTTCACATGAAAAAGAGCTGGAGACTTTAGTTAACTACAAGATTTATACAAGCAGAAAGTGTTAAGTGGCTTTGAAAAAGACAAATTACAACCCTAGACTAGATTATTGGAAGTGTAAAGCTCTAAATACAGGTGATGCCAGCAAGGCAGTGTTCCCTGTACAGCCAGATAGCATGCGCAACACTGGGCACCGTGAGGAGAAGACCACAGCCATCCTCGCCCAAACCCTCATGTTAGAAACACAGGGAGAGGAAGATAACACGACTTGTGATCTCATCCCTTCATAGAGCCACATTGAACATTTGTTTTGGAGGGGAGCAGACCTGGCATGTTTGCCCAATGGAGTGAGGTATTAAGAGGGACAACGATGCAGTGTCCACAGAGGACGATGGGAGCAGGTGGGACTGAGGGCATTCCTAGCATGGCATTCGAAGTCCCGTGTGACCTGGTATCGGACTTCCTTTCTGGTGCCATCTCTGCTGATGCGTCTGTCATCCCAGCACTCTGGGAGACGGAGGGTGGAGGATCCTAAGTCCAAACCCAAAGCCCCGGCAACTTAGTGACTTTGTCAGACCTTGACTCAAAATTAGCAGCAACAATAACAACGCCACCACCAACAGAGGGGATGGTGATGTAGCTCAGTGGAAAGGCCCTAGGTTCAACCTCAAGTACCACAGAAGGAAGATAGAAAAGATTTCGGTCCTTCCTGGAATCTTCTGGCTCCGTGGAGCTCTTTCCTCTACACAACCCAGCTGACTGTCTTGGATGAGGGTATTGGATTTACAGCTCTGTCTGGACTTTGAACCCCGTTTTTTGAACCCCTGTCTCCAGCCCAGAACAGACACTGTGCATTCATGCTGGCTGATTTGACTACCATTCAGGGAGCGCCTCTAGGAATAGACGGTCCGTGTATTCCCTGACTTTTTCCTTTTTACCTCAGGCTGAATCCGCCTTAGCTCCTGAGCAATACTTTAAAATAGACTTGCTGAGTGAGAAGACATTTGGTGTGAAGAATTTCTTCCCTCACTTGAGGGCAGGTCAGTGATGTCACCTAGCTGTAGAACCTTAGAAAAACGCTGAACTAAGTCATGTGATCCATTGTCCAGTTGACCTGCAGTGATGCTTATCATCTTGGGCCAGTTTCACCGCGGCTCCCTGAGCACACCTTTTTCATGTTCCAGACTACCAGTGGCTGGAGACACTAGTTCCGGTAATAGCTCAATCGGTATCACTCGAAAAATGTATTTACTAAAAGAAAATCGCCGGCTACTTTCGGAACAGAAGAGCTCTGGAATCTTTGGGATGTGTCAGGTTATCTGTGTTACCATCTCTTTAATCCTAACTGCAATTGGGTCATTTAAAAATATTTTTAATGATAGATTTCTAATTTCCTGAGGAAATTGGCACATGGTCTTGTTGAGGTGTGACAAATCCTTCCTCCTCTGCAACAGTCAATAACCTGGTGAGAACCCTAGCCTGTCTGGGCTTTGGATGTCCCAGAGGTCTGGGCAGGTAAAGGGTCTAGAAATACGGATGTGGGTTTTGTGCCTCCAGTGTGATGCGCAGATTCTGGCACTCGCAAGTCTTGAAGCAGGGCTGAGCAAAAGCAGTCAGCAAGGCCTCCTTCGGGCCTTTGGTCCAGTATGAGCAGCACCAGGGCATCTGCTCAGGGCAATTCCAGGTGTAGATGCAGAGATTCTACAGAGGTGAGGCTTGGCAGGGGTGGGTTCCAGCCCACTGCTGGGCCCGACTAGCAGTGGGCTCTCAGCAGACATCTGGCAGCTTACTTTGAATGGACTGGATCCTGGGAGATGGAGACAGGGGGAGGAAGAGTGTGGAGGCCGTGCCTCTGGGCCTGGGCTTAGGAAGTAGACCTGAGAACAAGGTGAAGGCTGTGCATGAGTGCATTCGTATTGAATTCATGGAGAGGTGTGAAACTGTGAGATATTTCAGTTGCCTATAGAGTGTACCCCACGCGTACTTGGGATTGCAGCATAACCATGTTTCTATTTCCCTTGGCTGTCAGATCTGGAGTCTTGGTGTGGGCAAGATACGGAGAAGTGTACAGGAAGGACCCAGAATCCGTGGCATCTCCTCAAAGGAGAAATGCTTCAAGGAGAAATGCTCTCAGGTGTCTTCACAGCTGAAAATAGGAGGCTACCTCACAACCAGAGCCTTCTGTCGGTAGTCTTTGTGGAATTTCTCAACAAGCCTGCAGCGAAATTGATTTTCTGTCCCTTTGATAAGCAGAAGTCCGAGATTCCTCACCAGGAGTAGAGGGTCCTTTTTGGTGTCTTTGAACAGTTTAAATAATGGGCTTCTCAGTGCCCAGCTCTCTCCATCTCATCTGTATTTTAGTTCAGCCAATAGTCTGAATGCAGGACTTTGAGGAGGAAATAACTGGGAATGTTCTAGAACCAAGAGGGATGGAAGAGGAAGGTGGAGCAAGGAAAAGAAAGTGAAGATCTGGAAGCCCAGGCTAGTGAGACACACCCTTGAGAGCCAGGCCAGGGAAGGGCTCCTGGGATTGTAGAGATGACAAGGTAGTGGCCCCAGAGACTGAGCCTGAGGCAAAGTCCAACTGGGAGCAAAGCCAGCCAGGGACGTTTGGCTCAGATGTCTGTGGCTAATCAAAAGCAAACAAGCCCAATTTCACTGGGTGTGACCCAAGATAAAAGAAGTAACAGTCCTGTCATTCCATGTGAGTGGAGTGATAGCAGTCTACTAGAGAAAAACTGTTTGATTAGTGGAAGAAAGAGCTTTTTAAATAAACATGAACATCAATTCTGAAGCATGGATTCACTATAAAATCAGTCTCTGCCAGTAGTTTCAGGTGTGACCGTCCATCGAACCAACAGATGGGTACTGTTAGCGGCACTCAACTTTCTGACAGAAGGCCGGAGGGGGAGCAGTCACAGGCTTTAAATGTGGAAAAGGTTGGTAATGCGGAAGAAAGAGCCAGCAATGCTGAGACCGACAGGTCCTAAAACCACAGACACAGGAAAAAGTCAACATACCATTTGTCACCGTTTCAGCACTAGCTTTGCTAAATGCCATTCATTGAGTACGTGGGGCCCCTGGGTGGCAGCTGGAATCCTCAGCAAACACTGTATTTTATTGTGGGTGTCCCGGCCTGGAGGCAGCTGGAAGCAGCTTGTCAGTGAAAATTCAAGAAAAGGTTTATGTCTACTCAGGGCAGATGTTAATCACAGTGTCCAGTGGAGGTACTGAGAAATTTTAATGTCTTTGGTGGAGGAAGAGGGGGTCAAGATGGAAAGGAGACAAAGAGAGGAACTCTAGGCTTTGAAAAAAAGCAAATACTATTGGGTTAGAATTGTACACAGAGGGAAGACTTGCAGCTTCCCTCATTGTTGGTACTGATTCATTCTCCTGGCAAGAGATGAGCTCAAGACTATCAAGGGCTGAGCATTGCTATCTACTTGAGTGGACAAGAGGCCCTATTTATGGCATCTAGGAAGAGCTTTAGCTTCCTCTCCAAAAGTATGTAAGATCTCTCCCTTTCTCCCTTCCCTAAATGCATGTTGCCTGGACAAAATGGATTGATTACACCTCAAATAGGTT